GTCCAAACTCAAATATCTAGGGCAGATTATTGATGAGACCAGTAGATGACCGGATACTGCAAGAGCAAGCACGATAAAAGATATGCCCGCGCCAACTAATATTATAAAACTATAAGTATTCCTACGTGTTGCAAACTATTATCATGCATACACACATAATATGCACGAGTTGAGAGCACCATTAAATAATCTAAGGTAGGATGTCAAGTGTAACTGGACAGAAATGTCAAAGTGTGTTCAAGCAGATTAAGAAAGTGTTAACATCAGAGTTATCACTGATTCACTTCGACCGTAACCTGAAAATTGTCATTGAATCTGATGCAAGTGATACAGGGATTGAAGCAGTGGTATTACATAAGTATGACGACGGATCAACAAAGCCAATAGCGTTAATTGCGACTAAAAGAAGCTACAGTCAAATAGAGAGAGAAGCATTGGCTATTATATTTGCCATGAAGAAATTCCACAAGTTCTTAAGGGACGAGAATTTATTCTTCAAACAGACAATAGAGTGTTATTATCTATATATGGATCTAAAAGAGGTGTTTATACATACAGTGAATAGGCTGCCACACTGGGGGAATGATTCTATTAAATTATAACTAGAAGATGGAATATTTTACTGTCTAAGAAGCCAAGTTATGCAGACATATGTTTGTCTCGATTAGTACCAAGATGCTGGGAACCACTGGAAGACACAGTAATTGTGGTGATTAGGGCTCAAAGTAAAATAGGCAACGTACTATATAATACCGTGAGAGAGCTGCCAATTACATTAGAAGAGATAAAAACTAAGGCAGAGAAAGACCACTTCATAGTGAAAATGAAGGATAAATTAAAATCTACAGGAAAAATACTATTGGAAATACTAGTGCATTTTCATTGTGCAATGGTGTACTGATGTACGCTGAGAGAGTAGTTATATCAGTGTCGTTAAAAAGATGAATGTTGAAAGAGTTTCATAGAGGACATCTGGGGATTTCTAGGATGAAATTTTTAATGAGATGCTACACCTACTAGCCAAATATGGATAAGGATATAGAAAATGTGGTAAAATTATGCAGAGGTTGTGCTCTGGCAGCAAAGTCACTGCCTATAAAAGTTCAAACTTGGCAAACAACTGATTGACCATGGACTAGAATTCATACTGACTTTGCTGGGCCAATAAATGGAGCATACTATCTGGTAGTAGCAAACAGCTTTATGAAATGACCAGAAGTACTAAAATGCAGGAAACCAACTACCACACAGTAACTATTAATTTCTTGCATGAAATTTTTGCAAGATTTGGTGTTCTGACAATGGGATACAATTCTTGTCCAGTGAATTCAAATTCTTTTGCAAGCCACTAGCAATTGAACACATTACTACTCCTCTGTATAATCCTAGATTGAACGGACTAGCAGAACATTTTGTTGACACGTTTAACCTTTGCTACACTAATTTCTTTCTACAATTGCTCCCCCTGCCACAGCATTTTTTTTTGAGCATGCAAAAACATGCACACCTACTGTTTTAAAATCGTTTTAACTTTCTTTGTATTGTGTGTATAGATTTTAATTTTTGTACACTAATAAAAGAATGAATGAGTAATATTTTGATGCAATGCATTATGTTTTGCATGAATGTTTTGATGTTGAAAACAAAAAATTGAAACATGAAATAAAAAATGTGAATACATTAAAAAAATACATAAATAATTCAACATACTTTAACTTTTATTACTCCTTGTCGAGTCCTTGGAGGTGCAAGAAGCAAAAATCGCTAAAAAGGCTTTCATTTCATCAAAAAAGTGACATGTGTCTTTGTGTTTATATACAAAAAGATACTAGTATTTGTTTGCTCTTTCTTTCACCTGACTCGTCTTGTTGACAAATAAAGTTATTATTTCGTCATTTATAAATAGACAAAAGAATTCACCTTCAGAAAGGCTATCAGATATATTGATGATCATCTGTAGCTACCATAAAATTACTCAGACATGGATGATAGCAGCCGCTAGTGGTCATAGTCGCTTTCCTCCACATCACTAGTGTGGTTATTGTCTCCAACCACTCCACCGTCAATATCCACTCAAGTAAAGCCTTCAAAATCATCATCAGAGTGTTAATCAAAGAAAAACTCCTAAATAAAGGCTTTGTTGGATGTTGACGCGGACATTTTTGTTTACAAAAAAAATTAACGTAAGGTTTAATTGATGTCACACCTCATGTAGAGTCTAGAATTCAAAATGGTGTCAGAAAATGGAAGTTTGGCCTTGTTCCAAAGTAGTAGTAGGCGATTTCCAGCTTAAAATATCAGAAATAACAGTTGACAATAACTGTCTCAGGCGACCGAAGTCGCCACAATAGCAGTAAGGGAGAAAATTGTATGGCGACTATTGTCGCCTGTAGTCTGGTAATGGTTAAGCGAGATTTAAAGAAATCGGAGAGAGAGGAGATTATGATTCAACAGTTTTTAAGTGTTTACCGTATTACATCAAACCCAAACACCATGTCAGGAATGTCACCAGCAGAATTGATGTTCACTAGAAAAATCAAGTTCGTCTTCAATAAGCTGTTACCTGAGCACAAGACTAGGACATCAAGGAATAACTACATAAATACCTATTTCAAACATGGAGAAAAAGTAATTTTTCAGGATATATCAGCACGGCAAGGAATTTTGGCAAGATGGTATCGTTAAGAAATGCATTGACAGAATGACATACATAATACAAGGACAACAGTGGGAGCCCAAGTGACATTAACCAGCTAAAACATTGTTTCACTGAATTAAAAAGTCCCTGGATGGAATTACCGATGGAATTCCTGTATGATACATTCAATGTTCCTACACCAGCAGAAATAGTGCAACCAAGGGTTTATGGCAAAAGGAAAATAAGGCCACAGTTTCTAATGATCAAACCAAAAAATATAGAGCCCAGGGGAAGTCATTTCAAAGGGGAAGTGTTGTATAAAAGTGTTGTTGCTGACACTGTGGTTTGAAACTAGATTGCCAGTGAGTAACATGAGCGATTCCATTATTAAGTAGATCACATGATCATAAAGGAAGTGAATAAATAAGAAGTAGCGTGATGACGATCACTGTTCACTCTTCTTGTCTATCTGCTATTGCTATATGTTCACTCTTTCTACTCTACTGATTATGATTCTCTTCTGATCATTATACTATTTGGTGATTACTACTTGAACAAGTATTACTAGTGTGGATATTATTGGAAGGCGTTACTACTAATACCGGCATCTATGAAGTCTTGAATATAACAAGCATTTTTGGGAGTGATAACAAGCTTTCGTTTGACATAGCAAAAGCAAAGCCGTCCAACACCATAAAATAAAAGTATTTAATTTTGTAGGTTGCTGAAGAGTTGCAACCTACATGACATACACTTCCAATTAACCTTATCAACTATGCTCTGCTATTAAATGTTAAGGCGTAGAAGCAAATATTCACCAAGTACCCTCAAACCTATTCCATCCAAATTACAATCAATATTTTTTTTTTTTTTTAATTAACCTGGAAGTGCACATTTTAATTAGTAGGTGGGCCAACCTATAAGAGTATAACATACTTTTGTTAACTGGAGTTCAATCCTGGTAACATTCATTAGCCAATACAAACGTCTTGTCTTTTTTTTTTTTGCATTGTGCAAAGAAAGTGATTTAAAAAAAAAAAAAAAAAAAAACTTTAAGAAATGATGATCATTTATTCTTTTTATATTATTGTATATTTATTAAAATTCATGTTATTTATTTATTATGGTTAACTTTTATTTATCTTTAGGTTATCAAGTGTCTAAAAACAAAAAAAAAAAGAAGCTTATTTCATTACAAATATTAATACATTATTATATTTGCTTACTTATTTTTTCATTGACACAAATGACTTTATTCATATCTTAATGTAACATCTTTTACAAGAAAAGCACGCATCACTGAATTTGAATAAGGTGTTTCCAATACTAAAGTTTAATTTGTATAACTTTTACTATTCTGTATAACTGATTATTTTCTATTACACACACACACACACACAATACCCTACTTCCAACACAATCTTCAGGCCATATATGTTGTGTTTTGGCTTAACTATATATGTTGGACATTGGTGCATTATAGCTAGCAAGGTCTATTGTATTATCCTAACAGTTATTGGGTAGGTAGTAACAGTTATTTTTCAAATTATTTTAGAGGCTATTGAGTAGGAATACACGTTGATCTGAATACAGTTATTTGTAACTTTTAATGTTGTGTCGTAAATAGGAAAGGTTGACATACATATAGAAAATAAGTAGTTTATCCCAGAGAATAATATGATACACGGTTAAGAACATAGATTATAATAAACAGTTAATTGTTAATTCCTCTTGTTCAGTAAGAGAGAGTACTGTTTAAATAGTCTTAGACCAGTCCATCTTGTGGGGGTATTCAGCTACTCCAGAACATCCCTCTTTTTTTAATTGACTACTTCCTCTGGAAGTCGCACTTTTTCCTCATTGAGTTTATCTCTATAATCCTGGTAAATTTTCTTTTCCATTTACTCGAACATTTCTCCACATGGGCTACTAAGGGCATTAGTACATTGAATAAGTCATAAATAACCTTCATCGGTTCTTCTGGTTATTTATATCCTCCGAGTACCACATTTAATTTAAAGGAATGCACATCAGCTGAGGGAGAGACATCTTAAATCAGTTTTATGTTCCAGTCCTCCACCTTGTCTACTCAGGTAAAATGCTCATTGTCAAAAAATTGTCCTAAACATTGTAAATCTCAAAGGATACTTAACTCTAGAATAGGAATAGAATGAATGAAAGGTTCAGCTTGTCTTTTATCCCTAAATAACAAAAGATTTCAAACGTCCATTTGATAAACATTGAAAAATTATACTGGATTCTTAAATGGATTCCTTAGGAGAGAAAATAAAAAAGCTTCTGTTAGGAAACTGAACTGAAAACATTTAGAAAATAAAACTGTAAAAGTGCAATGTTGATTTACCTGTTCCTCTTCATCATTCTCCTGCATGAGCAATGCTTGAAGGAACTGTCTTCGTTCTGTGCCAGTTGATTTCTGATCAAACATACCAGCCTGAATGACCTTTTCATCAACATTTAGTTTGTAGCGTGCGGCTGCCAAAATACGTTCTTCCACACTGTTGACTGTCATCAAACGCAATACTCTCACTTCATTCTGTTGACCAATACGATGGGCACGATCCTGTGCTTGTAAATCCTGAAACACAAAAACAAAGTGATATTCAAGTACAATTCAGTCACTGCACACCAATATGTAGCTATCAACTCTCAATTGCAAATTATTACAATTGTTATTCATAACATACCTGGTGAGGGTTCCAATCAGAATCAAATATAATAACAGTATCTGCAGCTTGTAAATTTAAGCCCAAACCTCCAGCACGTGTGCTGAGTAAGAAAATAAAATAAGGAGACTCTTCCTGATTGAACAGGGCCAGCAGATGGCCTCGGTCTTCAGACTTGGTAGTACCATCAAGACGTAAATAGCGGAAACCTGGAGAGAGACAAATACAAACTTTTTAGACAACTGCCAAATTAGAAATATTGGGCTAATTTAGACAAAGAAAATTTGCCAAAACGCACTTAATCTATAATCAGATATGCAATGTTTCTTAAAAAAAAATTGTTATTGATTTAGCCTTCGTTATTAATGATTTAAAAAAAAAAAAAAAAAACTTAAGCCAAGAAATTAAAAGATTTTAAAGAGACCAAAAAATATTGAATATATGACTTACCTCTAAATACAAAATAATCTTCCATGATGCTCATTAGTGAGGTCATTTGACAGAAGAGAAGAACTCGATGGCCTTTGGCACGCAGTTTGGGAAGAATTCTGTCCAGCAGTTCAAATTTCCCAGAACATCGATAAAGTTCTGGCCTGAAAGTAGCATTTGAAAGAGCAAAATTTAAACACAATTTTTTTCAAAAGCTTAGAAGCAATTACTTCAGCTGATGACATCCATTATTATTTGTGATGAGCAACAAATGAGTTAACTATTTTTATTTTTACAAATGTTGTAAGGAGGTTAAACAAAAATAAGATGAAAAAAATGAAAAGAAAAAAAATGTGTGTGCATGTGTATCTAGGATACTTACCCACTGACGATGCCACCCTGGATGCCCAGATGATCAGCAAAAGCTTCCTCAATATGTTGGAACATAAATGGATGGTTACAGATCTTTCTCAATTGCATAATTGTATTCATCAAAGCTTTTGTACCACCTTTGCCCTGGGAAACAGAAAGGAAAAATGGGCTTAATAAAAGCAAGAAATAACTTAGAAACATTGTAATGTAAAAGTAATAATATTTGCTTAGAAAGTGAATGTATAATCACAATTTTTCTTTTTAATTGACTATATAGGACAACAATTTACATCAACCAAATTTAGTTGATTTTATCCAAATCTAGAAATAAAATTCCTTCTAAAATTTCAATTATAGAAAAAGGATTCTGAACTAGATAAATTTCATCTCTTTGCATTTTACTTCTACTAGCAGATAAGCATGCCTGGTTTGGATCAACCCAGAGTAACAAGAATAAGAAAACAGTTTGATTATTCAAAGCCAGAAATATTTTTAGATTTAAAGGATTTTTTTTTTTAGATAATAATAGTTAAGTGATACGAGGTTTACTAATTAACCCATGGCTGGAGGGAGAAGAGGTGGATTCATACCTTTCCCAAGGGTATTTGCATGTGAATATAACAAACTCGATGGGAATTGAAACTTGGCTCTCATATTAACAATTCTGAGCCATTATCCATGACACCACCTGTACATCCAAGCATACAGCACCTGGTATTCCCAAGTGGTCACCCATCGAGGTACTGACCAGGCTTGATTTTGCTTAATTTTGGTGATCATACAGGAACTGGTGTTTCAACATGATATGGCCATAAACCAAGAAAATGGTTTAGTCACTAAAAGAGGTAAACATATTCCAAAAATCTACTATTGCAAAAAACAAAATTGTTTTTGTTATGCTTAAGATTTCTTTGGATTAATAATATAATTTGAACAATCATGAAAAAGGATATTACAGATATTGTTGCTCATCATTTGGAATGATTTGATGGTTGATTTATTAAAAAACCTAACAGTCAAGAAAAATAAGGATTTTTTTTCTTTCTTAATTTAAATCCATATAAATTCAAGAATGTTTAAATATTTAGAATAAGTAAAAAGCAAGTCAAAAACATAGGACTTACCTTTTTGTCCTTTTCTGAGCCATCAGTGAGCAGGACACCCTTACATTGCATGTGTCGGTACAGCAGTCTCTGTAGGGATGACATCTCACATTTGATGACATATTCCACCTATAAAAAAATTAAAATTAATTTAATTTCAAAAGAGATTCATCATAGCTCAAACAAAAATGAAAAGAAGAAAAATTTGAAATATTTTTTTTTTAATTTTTTTTTTGTTGAAGCTGTTGCTTAGAAGATTTGGATAGTTTTAAGAATTTTATTATAAACAATAGTCTTTATGCACACACATCAAACCAATAATTTTTTTTTTTTTAACCCATAATTCGATAACTAAACTTATTGATTTAAATCTTACAAATGTTGGAAAAGAGAAATACAAACCTTTTCTGGCAGTTGAGATTCAACCTCTTTTTTTAGTCTTCGTAAGAGGAAAGGTCTGAGTACTTTGTGCAAACGTCGAATGATAAGCAAAGTTTCTTCTTGGTTAAGTTCCACCTAAAAAAGAAAGAAAAACAAAATTCTTACTATAGATTAAGGATTACTAAGTATCTTTATCTATTTACTTTCTTTTTTTACTAGCAAAATGTTGGCAAACATTTCACACAAGAACACCAAAACTAGAAAAAAATAAAATAATGGCTAATAATAATGAGTATTATCATCCATTTTACAAGTTTCCTTTTAAAATTGCTTTTCCAAAGCAGTGTCAACCTAAAGTTGCAGAGATAATCATTATTCAGCTTGATATTTATATTTTGAACATATGAGAGAGAGAGAGAGAGAGAGAAAGTTTATTGCACCCTTATTAATCTTTCTTTTAATTCTCAATTTTGTGTAAATGTAATTTTCTTTTATCATCCTATTTAGATACTTTTTTATATTAAAAGATTCAAATTTGATGAATGGCAAACTTTGAAATTAACCTGAAGGCTTAAATTCAGCAGATTCATCAATCTTCCATCTGTATGTTCACAGGGCCAACAGCATTTTGGCATATTAATAACAAAAATGGGTTTTAGATTGTTCCAGTCTTCATTTTTGTGTAAAATAGGAAAGGTTAACTTTTTATTTCAACTGACCTTTTCACCAGTCATTGCAAAGGGAGCATTGAACCATTGTTCAAATGTGATGCAAGACTTAAAAATACTTGGCAGGAGGAAGTTCAGCAAAGCCCACAATTCAGGAAGTTTGTTCTGTGAAAAAGAAGTACAAATGCTTCAATAACAGAGAGAGAAATATTTTCACTGAACGTTTAGTAATAAATATAAAACCTCAGGTATAAAAACAAAGGAGTCTGGTTTGGTTTCATGAATAAAGTCTTCAAATGTGGAATGCTTATAGCTATGTTCCTACATTATCTCAGAAAATTATAATAGTGAAACTCACCAAAACTTTAATAATAATAATAATTATATAAAAAAAAAAAAATTACCTGTAATGGTGTGCCTGTCAGAAGCAACCTGTAAGGGGCACTGTAATATGTGTTTAGGACTTGTGTTAGTTTACAATGGTGGTTTTTCATTCGATGACCTTCATCAATAATCATGTATTTCCAGCGAATCTACAAGGAGAAAAAAAAAAAAATTAAAATTGTAATAAAACATTGAAAAAGAAACAACTTAGTTGCAAATCACAAATCAGATGAATTACCTTTGACAACAGGGCTTTATCTTTCATAATATATTCATAAGTGGTAAGTAGGCAGTTGAATTTGCCAGCTTTTAATTGTGGTGTGAGAGTGCGTCTCATATTAGGGGAACCTTTGTAAGCAACTTTGATAACACTTGGAGCCCACTTATCAAATTCCAACATCCAGTTAGATAAAGTTCTGAAGTATATAAAAAAAAGTACATATAATTAAAAAGGAGCACTAATTGTAAATAAAACTTTTCATAAAATTAGGGAAACTAAGATTTGTTTTTTTCATGTAGAGAAGGGAATAAAACAAAATTTACATCATTTCTAAGTTTCAAAAATATTCTTTTGCTTTTAACTCAGTGATTCAATGTTTTCTTATTAAACTAGCATTTTGTACAGATTTGAGTTAATGATGATTTTTAACAATAATTAGTCAGTTCATAGATCAATATTTCTGTATTCAAATCTTAAAAAGGTCAGAATAATATTTATAAGAGGAGAGAACAAGCAAAATTTATAAAGATTATTGCACAACTTACGATAAGGGGACAATGATCAAAAACGGCCCATTAACTTTCTTTTTCTCAATTAGATATGTAATAAGACCAATAGTTTGAATGGTCTTTCCAAGCCCCATCTCATCTGCTAAAATACCATTGAGGTTGTTATTGTAAAGTGACACCAGCCATTCAAGACCTTTAATCTGTAAGAGAAGGCAAAACTCTTAGGAAAGAGGAAAAATAAAAATGACATATCTTGCTACAGATAGTTACTAAACAACAAAAATTGATGAAATATGACAAAAAATTGTACATTAATTGTGTGTGTGACTGTTAAGAAGTGGTAAATTGAATCTAATTGTGATTTGCCTATAGAACTATTCTACTTCTATATTCGATTAATAAAATAATGACCAATCAAGGCATTTTCAACAAGTTTTTTTTAACTAATTAGGTTTTAGCAATTTAGTTAATATAATATTGTAAGAGAAATATTTGCAACGGGGAAGATATTTTTTTCAAAATCAAGATATAATAAACATGGAAAATATTTTCAAGAAATAGTTTAGCTACCATGACATTTAATGTAAATTACACTTAATAAAAAGAACTGAATTTCAGTAATGCTCATCTTTATTTTTGACCAGCAACAATTTCTTTTTTTACTGATTTCTAAAGTACAACATATATATTGAATAATAACAGTTTCTCAAATTTTAGGTTAAAAATTATAAAATAGAGTGGTTAAATTGATAAATTTCACTTCTGAGTGCTTATCAGACAAGGATCATGATTTCCCTTTATTCATAACTATATGAATGACCTACAGAGACTGCTTTAATTGGATAACATAATTTTTTCTATTCCTTTCAAATATAGGTTAATCAAAACATCGCACTGAATAGAGATGACATGAAGGAGAAAATAATTTAGAAGCCAAATTTTAGCCTTATGATTAAAGCACAAAATATTTAACCTATCCATCCAATGCAGAATGGAAATTTTAGCATATAGTTAATATTTGCTGTAAATTAGTGAATGAAAATTTTGATGTCTTTGCTTCATAAATCCTGTGATATCACAGGTTACATTTGAATAAAGGAATAATAATGAAAGAGCTAAAAAGAGAATGTAAAGAGGTTTGTAAGCATTAAATAGATATAGAAGAGCACTGCACATTAAAGAAAAAAAAAGAAAAGAAAAAAGAAATTGAACGAATAGACTCACTTGGTACTCTTTGAGTTTGCCATTAACTAACATGGATGATTGTTCAGTAATTTTCTCATGAACACTATGGGCAATTGTGTAGTAATTGGTCATATCATTGCGATATTCATCATCGTCTTCTCGAGTACTGCAAAAACAAAAAGAATTAAAACTATCAATAACAAAACCAACTGAAGTGGAGAAAGCAATCTTACTTTTTCCAAGAATCAAATGAATTTCAAATAAAATTTTTCTTTCAAACTAAAACTGAACAACACTTACGATGGAGGTAATTCAGCATCACCATTAGCAATCTTGGCCTTTTCTTCATCCTCCTATAAAACAAAATAGAGAAAATCAAAAACTGATAAAAGAAATCATTATACAAAACTTATCAAATCTATAAATAAGAAAAATTTCAATGTTTTAAAAGTAATTTATGTAATAAAGTCAGTTGATAAAAAAAGGGAAAAAATTTGAGAAATGTTAGAATATGAGTTTTGAAGAAAATAGTGAAAGCAGCCAATGAGAGAACATTTTATTTTACAAGTTAGATTTTGCACCTTAAAAGAGAAAATACTTCACTAAAAAAGTCTACATAATCCAAATTGAAAATAGAGTTTGTAAATTGTCTTTCTGAAGAGTAATCATAGTAGAAATTATATATAAAAAAAAAAAAACTTTACTGTCATTGTATACAGAAAAGGTTTTGTTTTACCACATTTAAAAAAGTAACAGATAAAGTCACGACTGAATTTAAAAAAAAAAAATCAATACTCAAAAGAATGGAAAAATGTGCTTACATCCTCAGATTCATCATCATCATCATCATCATCAGATTCACCTTCTTCATTTGGAGCCACTTCATATCTACAAACATAAGGTTTGAATCAATAGTTAACAGAAGGTTTAATACTACTCATATTAGTCTATTGCAATACAAGTGGATTTTTATTCTACCATTAAATTTTTGATCAGCCTTATAGAACTGATCAATTAATATCTTTCCTTTAGAATTTATTGATTACATTTTGAATTTATGCTGAGCTACAAAAATATTTATTCAGATTCAGTAAAGAGGGAGACAATTTTGGAAAATTTAGTTTTCATTTTCCATGATCAAATGATAGCCATAAAGTGATGAAATATTATATATATATATATATATATATATATATATATGTGTGTGTGTGTGTGTCATTTAAAAAACTAAAGTATTATTAAATATGAAGCCACTTTTTTTAAAGCAAGCACCTCCACTGACTTTTCAATACCTAAGGTTTAAAATAAATTTTTAAAAATGAAGCTTTTATTTTAGCTTTAATTGAAAGCTGAACAATTAAATTTACTATTTTCAATAAGAAAAATACTCTGGTGTATTTCAAAAAGAAATTATATTGATTGGAATCTCAACTTTTTAGTCACTTTCACAAAATCAGCCATTTTTTACACATTTGTAAACTCAAGTTAATTCTCAGTTTTAAAAATCTTCCAAAAATAAAATATACTTTTCTGGAACTTTATTTGAGGAATATTTGCTGATTTAAAGTATAATTAATCTGATTTGAAAAATATTATTTACTTTAAGTTTAAAATAACAGACAAATAGATTTTTAAAACAAACAGTAGTGGTGATTAAATGCTTATCACCATTGCTTGTTACTTCTAGATCACTTGACAAACAATGATAAAATCTGTCAACACCTTTACTGCTGTTCTACGAGAACATCTGGTAAAATATAATTTTAAAAAAATGATAGGCAAGTGCTTTTTTTTTTTAATATAATTTTTAAGTATTCAGTGAACTTAAAAATGCTGGAAAATATTTTCCATAATCTAATTTTAGAAATGTTGAATTTAAATTTACTCTAGTCATTATTATTATTTTCTGATTATGTTGTATATGGTCGACCATACTTCCAAATGGGCATGTTACGTAAGGTTTTATATACATAAAAAAAAAAAAAAAAAAAAAAAAAAATAAATATTGGTAGTAAACGCTTTTCAATTTTTGATTTGTAAATATAGTTTTCACTTAATAACAATATCACCTAACCAGATTGAATTAATGCAAAATTTTAAATGATTTATAATATTATAATCAAAATTTTAAAAAATGAAAATAATTCTTGTAAAAATTCATTATTCATTGAAAATTTTTTTTAAGACAATAGTGTCCTTAATAAATCTTATCTATAAAAGCAATTAAAAGCTTTACTAATTAAATAATGTCATATTTTATTGTATTTTTTTTACTTTAAAACTCAGAGCAGATTTTCAGGAAATTAGTCTTAGTTTAAAAAAAAAAAAAAAAAAAAAAGAAGAAAAAAAAAGAAGAAAAAAAAGAAAAAAAAAAGAAAAATAAAGGTATTCTCCAGGAGTCCTGCTTTTAACTAATAAAACAAATTTTGAAATTTCATGAAATTAAGGGGGGGTGTATAACGTAAAAAAAAAAAAAAAAAAAAACTTCAGCCATTTATGAATAAGTCCTCAATATTTCAGTAAAATCTGACAATTATTTGAGTTTTTGTAAGAATTTTTAAATCAATGTTTTTCCCATGAAAAAAAGCACAAAAACATTAATTGTAAATTAACATTCCCCACTGATGTAAAAAAAGATTTTTTAACCAAAATTTCTAATGTGCTATAAAAGATTAAAAAATTTAATAGAATAATAAAAACATTCTTTGGTCTCCCCTCTTAATAATGACAAACATTTTGATTATAAAACTGTTTTTATTAATTTCTAAGGCTTTTGATAAAAGTCTGATGATAAGAATAGAAAGCAAAAGCATAATAGCTAAATTGATGGCAAATGAAGCTACTTACCCAGGATGCTGCTCAAGCCAGGCTTCTAATTGACTGGCAAGAGGAGCTTCTTCTCCTGACAGAACTTTGCCTGTGGCCGTCTCTATCACATTCACTCTAGTCTCACTTGCAGTTGAAGTTTCATCAATTAACTAAAAAAAAAAAAAAAAATAAAAAAAAAATTAAAAAAAAAGACAATCCATCTGACTTACCTGTATGCAAATGACAAGAGTAAAATTATGTTGATAAACTTTTCAAAATACAAAAACATAACTCTTTATAATTTGACTAATATAAATAGATCAAGATTTGATATGCATAAATAACAAAGAGGACAAACATTTAAAATCCCAAAAAGCTTGGATGTTAACAGAATTCTCAATTTAGAAAAAATTTAAACTTACTGCTTCTTTCAAATTATCAGGATTTTCAACTTCCTAAAAATAAAAAAAATAAAAAATATATGTAGACAAAACAAATAGCATTAATTATATTCTCATCTTGACTGCTTTCTATAGACCAGCAACCTACTTTCATAGCTTCTAATCTAGATGCACCATTATTGTGGCCTTGTGTCAGGAAAAACTAAGAATAGTAAATATATACATTTTGTATATATAAAAACATTATCATTTGGTGATAAGCAAAAGAGAAAATTTAAGTAAATTTCACATTGAAAGGAAGAATTAATCTAAAACAGGGTTTCCCAACCAGAGTGTTATCATCCACCAGTTGGTGATTTCAACTGTTGGGTGGGCAATAATCAACTGAACAGAAAATGGTGGGAGATTTGAAATTTTGGCAAGTGATATAAGATTTTAAGTATTAAAACTGTATGTCAACATGTGCTACCCCACCACCAAATTCAATGGCAATATGCAAAGAACTTTGTGTGTATAAACACAAAACAGGAGGCTAAATGGGAATAACTGGGTTACATTACGAGATAAATATCCTTGCAAACAAGGTATTTTTGGTATTTTCTATAGAGTTTTCAATGGTCAACTTTACTTTTGTATGTTCTTTAAAATGGTAGCAGCAGCCACCACATAAGTAATTATTTGTTGTCTTCCGTTGGTATATTATTACAACATCAAAGTCAGTTTACAAACCAGTAACAAACTTTTACCAAACAATTTTGATGTGCTCTCAAGTATTTACTATACAGGGATAGATAAATTGTCTAAATTAGGCAAAAATGAAAACAACACTGAATCTCATTTTAACAAATATATTTACCAAAATTACATAAAAATATTTTGAAATACTAAAGAGAAAATTTATTCGAAAAAAAAAAAAAAAATATAGCCATTGGTTTCAACCATAGCTTCAAGATGACTTCAGAATCTCCTGCAACTCTTCTGGATGGTCTCCTTGTTTAAGTTGGTGAATGCTGTCATAATCCTTGCCTTCAGTTCATCTTTGGTGTTACAAAAAGTATTATTTGCCTCTTGCTTAACTGCACCCCACACATAATAATCAAGAGGGTTGCAGCCCGTAGAGTTAGGTGGCCAGATGTAAGGGGTGATGTGGTCACAGAAATTGTCTGATAGCCATGACTAGGTTCTTCTGCTTGTGCAGCATGGTGCAAGTTCCTGTTGCCAGACATGGAGTCTTCCAGCAGCCACCCTCTTGATCCAGGACAGCACTACCTCCTTAAGTTACTTGATGTAGGCCCTTGTATTGAGTGAGGCCTACACCAAAAAATTTGGGAGTTATTTTCTCATCAGAACGATCAGAAAGAGTTTTCCAAGTTGCCGTACCTTCGTAATCATCATTAGACTCATCCAACTCTTTCTGAATCCTCTATACTGTTCTCAGATTAATACCCAAACACTCCGAATTGTTCATATTGGAACTTCCAACACAAATGCTAAGCAGTACACTATACTGTTTCCAAATTTTTGGAGAAGCAATTTGTGTCATGGTGCTCTTTTTCTCCCAGATGGTGCCCAACTGGCCCTACTAGACTGTGCAGTCGACAAAATCAAAAACAAAAACTGTGCCTGTGTAAAATTAAAAAATATATAATGGCGACAATTTACCCATCGCACCCTGTACAGGTGGGTGGTGCAAAATTTTTCCATGTGAAAGTTTGTGATAATGCAAAAATGTTGGAAAACCCTTATCAAAATTCTGCCTCTCCACACCCACCATCTACAAACAATCCTTATCCAACTATTAAATCTGTAACCTATTTTCACCCTTATTTCCATGTCAAATAATTAGTAGCTTTAATAAGAGCTAATGGCTTCTTGTACATTATTGGTTTATGAAATGAAAAATAAAAAGTAAAATATAACTATACCTGCTTCTTTTTCTTCTTCTTTTTCTTCTTAATTTTCTTCTGTTCAATTTTGTGTTGTACAACAAGTTTTGTAAGATTAGACACGTATTCGTCTGTTTGCTGAAGAAGATAAGCTAAACGCTTGTCTTTCTTTTGATCAATAAGTTTTCGATATCCTTCTTCATCTTCAGCCTAGAAAGGCAAAAGAAGTAGGTATGCTAATAAAAGTCCATACATTCAGTTTTTCAAATAAAGCAAAATTTCTAAAAGCCATACAAAATAGAAAAGAAAAAGAAAAAACAACTGATGAATTAAACAGAATGGGAAAATGTTTAAAAAGCAAAACTAGGTAGATTCCAAAGATCCTGCTGACACTTGTTCTCTTCTGGAGCCATATGAGCATTTGAGTAGAGGCAGAGTTGATTGATTTGTTTTTCTTATGACTTATCAATCCTTTTTGGGTTATTTAAAGCTGAAACATTTTGGATCATAAGTCTTTCTTTTTTTGTGTGTGTGAATGAATATTGCATTAATATTTTTTTTTAGAATAACAATGATTTTTCCAAAATACTATTTAACCCATAGATGGATAGAGAAGATGGATTCATACCTTTTCCAAGGGTATTTGAATGTAAGTGAATGCAATAGACCTGACTGTAATTTGAATTTGGCTCACGGATTTCTCATTCTGAGTCACTATCCATTACATCACTCACACCAAAAAGAGAGAAAAAAATTCTGAGGAGATAAAAACCTGAAATTTATTTTGGAGATAGGAAACAAGTACTTTCCTTCAACTGGACTTTACATTCTTCACTTTCATTCAACAACCAGCTGGCCATATATGTATATATTACCATTTGGAAGAATGTGTAGATTATTAATAAAATACTGTGATTATATAAACTTCATGTTAGAGTATACAGTCAGACTGTGAGGAGGATCACTGGTAATGACTTTGCACTTGCAATGTAATAAGTGACACAAACTAAAAAGGGTTAACTTACCATGAGACGTCGCATACGTTCCTTCTCAATTCTTTCTTGTTCCTTCTTCTGTTCACGTTCAGTATTGGCATGATAGGTCATCACGGCCTTATTCAATTTACCAATCTTAACGGACATATTGCGATGGAATTCTTTGAAATCTTTAGCATGTTGCAGAATAGCATTAAGATATTCCTGAAATAGACAACAGATTCAATGTGAACAGTTTGAAAGACAAAATCAAACTGAAGAGAATTAAAAAACAAAAAACAGTAACATTTAGAATTATAAGGAAATTATTAGTGAATAGAAGTAAACATCTTAGTGTATATGAATTATTACAGGTATTATGAATTATTAGAAATTCTCCAAAATAAAACAATCATTTTTATTCCTTTCAACACATTTTACCAAAATAAAATAAAGTCTGTAAGATTTCTTTTGCATTTTTTATCAATCCAAGTTTTATTCTTATGATGATTAATGGAAAAAGAGATTCCCCTAAAAATAGTATAAGCAGCAACACAATCTGTACCTGGTGTTTCTGTCTTCTCTTTCTTTCTTGCTCTAATTTCTGCTGTTTCTCCAACTTCTCGGTAACGCGAGCTTCTCTAAGTGACTGACGCTTACTACGTTTATATGCCTTTGTGTTGAGAGCAGTTTCCAAAGTAGTGTCTTTTCGCATACAAGACACAACTTCTTGCCTCAACTGCAAACAGAAAATATTGACTCATTATTTCAGATGAGGGAGAGGGAAAAGAAGCATTAATTCAGAATTTTTTTAAAATGAATTCTAAAACTGATAAATATGATGAAAAAGTTACCTGTCTTTGAAAGTTAAGTAGTCGAAGAGCCTTTAATTCTATCATGGCCTTCCTCTGCATGTCCTCAGGCATTGTGGCTGGCAGTGTCTCCAGTTCCTGAATGCGCTGAGCAATACGAGCACACAACCTGCACAGGAACAATTTGGAGATAAACAGTTATCCAAGTCAACATTCAATGCAAAATAATACATGTATAACTCATTATATTGCACACTGCTGTTTCTTTTTTTTTTTAAATAAACTTAAGGTTCATGGCAACAATGTGTCAGGCAAGTCTATCAATATCATTTTGCCAACCACATTTGCTCATTTTGTCTATCATATATACCCATGTATAAACTTACTTCATATTTTGTGCAACTCCTGAATTTTTTTGTGAAAAACATGATTTTTTTCACATAGCTCATGTATAATGTGACCCCCAGCTGAGCAATATTCGTAGGCCTACTATAGTGAAATATTGCAGTACTGGGCATCATTCTGCTGTTCATGTAGCAAGAGAAAAAAAAACTAGGCTATAGGAGGTGGGCTAAAGCAGCTTAACTGTGCTGTTAAGGTTAGCTAAAAGTATTGTAAGAATGTAGGCCTATCAGGTAGGTTATGGCCACTGAAAATGCATGAATTTTATCATCCACCCAAAAGAAATTACCCAACCACTGAAAATGCATGATTTTTAAACTCAAAAACACAGACACTTTGTATCTCTATTTTCTGCATAAAAAACTGATAAAAAAAACTCACACTATACTTGAATATATATGGTATGTTACATTTTGGTAATTCTTTTAATATTTCAAACTATTTCTTCCTTATATTCTTCTTAAGCTAATAAATGAACATTGAAAAGCTAAGTATTTAAGTGAAGAGTTGAATGCAGCTAAATTTAAATCAACAGTTAGAAAGAATTCAAATTGAGAAAATTATATCAAACAGCAAAATACCATGAAAACTTCACTTGCACCAAACAGCCAAATCGTGAACACAAAATTCTTGAAGGAAATTAAGTGCCATTCCAGTGAACACATGAATGATAAAAAAAAGCACAATAGCCCTATTGCCAATATGGAGAAAGTTTTAGTGATCTAGATAGAGCAAACCGGTCAATATATTCATAGCTTAATTCCAGAGCAAAGCTCTAATTCTTCAATTCTATGACTACTGAATGAAGTAAAGGAAGCTGTTGACACTAGTAGAGGTTGGAAAAACACCTACTGCATAAATGTACAGTGAAGCAGCTCGTGCTAATACAGAAGCTATCCAGGTGAATTTGCTAAGATAATTGATGAAGGTGGTTACACTAAATTTTCTATGTAGACAAAACAGCCTCATATTGGAAGATGATATCTAGGACTTTCATAACTATAAAAGAAAATGCAATGATTTGCTTCAAAAGATGGACTGACTAATGTTGATCACTGGCTGTATTAGCTTGCAAGTTGAAAACAATATTTATTGTTAAGACATACATATATTGGTGGGGGGGGAAAGAGATACTTTAAAAAATATTACTGCTTATTGACAATGGAATTGGTTACCAAAGATCTCTGATTAAAATGTATAATGAAATTAGTGCTGTTTTTATTTGCTCACACAACATTCATTATGCAGCCCATGGCTATAGGAGTAATTTCTAATTTCAAGTGTTATTATTATTCAAGAAATACATTTTATAAGCGTTTTATAGTCATTCCTGATGGAACTGGGCAAAATAAATTAAAACCTGTAAAGTATTCATTCTAGATGCTATTGAGAACATATGTAATTCATGGGAGGTCAAAATATCAACATTAACAGGAATCTGGAAGAAGTGGCTTCAAACACTTATAGATAACTTTGAGAGGTTTAAGATTTCAGTGGAAATGCCTGCTGACAAGGTGGAAATAACAAGAGAACTGGAATTAGAAGTGGGACCTGAAAATGTGAATGAAATCTTCTGTATCTTTTAATAACTTTAATGGATGAAAATTTCCTTTTAACAAGAGTCACTTCTGATGAAGAGGCTGGGAAAATATTTAAAAGAATTTAGAATATTAAAAACTTCGTTAATAAAGCAGCAGCAGAGTTTGAAGGGAATCAATTCCAATTTTTAAATTTCTACTGTGTGCAAAATGCTATCAAACAGTATTGTATACTCGAAGTCTTTCATGAAAGGAAAAATCAATTGATGCAGAAAAGTTCATTGTCTTAAGAAATATCCACAACTATTCTAACCTTCAAAAGACCACCATCCTGATGAGTCAGTAAGAAACCACATCAGGGCCAAGACTTTCAAACATCAAAAAGATTATAACTTGCAGAAAGCTTAGATGATTAGCATTTTCAGAAATAAAGTATTTTAATTAAGGTATGTACATTGTTTTCATTTTTTTACATTTAATGTTTTTGCACACTTAATAGACTACAGTATAAATGTAACTTTATATATTTGGATATATATTTAAGCTTAATTTTGGTGCCTGCATTTATAAAGAATTGAAATTTAATTAAGTAATTTGCTAAATTTTTTTTATTAAATGGTGATTTGTTTACTTAATTCTAGGGATTAAGTTTTATTTCGGAGGTTAAAATGAAATGGTTAACATTGAAGGATAACCCCCCCCCCTAAAAAAACACACAAACAATAAAGATATATTTTATATTTTAAACATGTTGTCTTTTGGTCATTTTATACCCTTAAAATGGCATCTGTTCTTTTCTTTCTTTTATATATTAGTATTTTTCACACCAGAGACCCCCTCCCTGGGTGGTTAATAAAATTTACATAAACCGTATTTTTTGGCATATACGAAGCACTTTCTTTTTAGACATAAAATTTAATGCTAAAATCTACTTGTGTTTATACTATACATCACAATTATTAGATAAAAAAAATAAATAAGCAGGAATAATTTAGTTCACCTGAATGTGTTATTAGAAAAATAGTATGGATATCAAATTTGCTTAATGCAGTTAATGCTGTTATAATCAATATTTCAATTTTCACTGACTACTTGGAAAAACTGTCTTCAAAATAAGGATGCATTTTAAACACTGGTGCATCTATATTCAGAAAAAATACAATAATCTTCTGTTCGTCAGATGATGAATTCAATGCGCTGAGAAGTAGTTTTCTTATAAATGGGAGAAAGTATGGCGTTGTTTACCATCTCATCAGCCATATAGGTCATTTTATACTGAATTAGCTAATTTTCACATTATGTAATTTTTAATCTTTTTATTTTATTTTGTGACTGCTTTGTAAACAGATGTTTTTGAGATGCGAATACTTTTTATTGATAAACAAATATTTTGTGCAGTTTTATTTTTTTCTGGGTGTCGTAACTACAAGAGTTTAAGAAGGCATATTTCCCTCAGAAAGTCTAGTAACTGAGAAATTGTAAGTAAAATCAGGGACAAACAATAGGAAGGGAACGGGTTGGCCTGGCACTGCCTACTTCCGGAAGAAAGAAACTCCTCAGCTTCAAGACAGGTTGCTCAAAACAATTTAGCTTCAACACATTGAGTGCTGAACAGTTCGATGGAATTACTCTATGTAAAATACAAACAGTCTCAGTTCTCAGTGAAGACAACAACACCTCAGTTCAAAACACACAACGTAGTTATCCAAAAAAAAACAATTGCCTCAAAACTCCACTGATCTTCGCACTCAATAACAACACCACCTCATAGTTCGCTACACACGATCTCCCGAATGGTCTCCCGCCGTCACCTTTATGCCAGTGAACACCAACCAATTTGCATATGGCCAAGTTCACCTCTCGCCAATCCTCGCAGCTACGAGATCGCGTTTCCCATAAGACCGACTCACCGTAATGGTGGTGTTTCTTCCTTCGGATCAATTACTGCCCTGCACGCCAGACACAAACGAACCCTCTTATGTCGAGAGCCAAGGTTAGTCTCACTTTCATGTCCACACTCCCCCCTGGTCTCAGGATCACACGTGGCACTGCGGACGTAGTTGTTTGTTGCGGGCACTCCTACGAAGGGGGATTGTCTGGACTTCTTCATCGGAGCTCTCAGAAGGGGCATCGGAACTATTGGCATCAGCGTCGGGGTTCGCAGTCGAACCATCAGGCCCGCGGGGCATAGGACGGATCCACAGTTCATTGTTGGATGATTCACCACTGCTGCTACTCGCCAACTGGTTCGTATTTAGGGCAGGCCGGACATCCCTCACATGGCGTGAAGTACCATCTGCTCACTGACGATGCCGGTGATTTGTCCTCTTCGAAAGCTGGTGGTGCACCGGCTATTGGGAGGCTTCACCCAAACGGTGTCCCCTAACTCATACGGCCCCGTGTTCCCCGCCAATCAGGCAGAACGTCAATGCCCTTGATGCGCACTCAGTAGCGATGGATCGCATTGGCGGATGCGCCGCAGCAGTCACGGCATCCTTTGGTGTTGCATTATATCTATAGACCGCCTCCACTATCGCAGGCACTGCTTCCTGGCCACGATCCTCTTCACGCTTTTGGCACCGCTCTGATATGCTGTTGCCACTCAGCACATACGCACATCGGTGTCTGAGCCGGATCCCCCACTTGCCTACAAAACGCCCCCCTGCAGAAGGCAGTGTTGTTGTCCGTGAGGATCTCTTCAGGCGGACCCCTTTCGTAAAATATGGACTCCAATTCATGGATGACACTGGAGGAGTTCTGTCTTACTAATGGGCGCCAGATCGCGAACATCGTTGGTCCGCAATCTATCAGTGTGAGGAAATGCTGGCTGCCGTAATGTCCATAGCCAGTCGGCTCCAAGTCGTGTCTACTCCCAGCCGACCATTCCGCCATATAGCTGGGGCGGGGTCGATTGACTGGCATGTGTGGCATTCCTTGACCACTGCTCTCACTGCACTTTTGGACACTGACGGATTGTCCAACTGCACAAAATAGCATGTCCGTCTCACTCCGGGGTGCCACTGTTGTGGTGTATTTCCCTGATTTTGTCTGCCACCTCAACAGAGGTAGCACATAGTAACAGTACTGGCTCAGCTTCTTTCTTCATGGCGCCATACCATCTCTGTGGCACCCGAGTGAGCCTATCAGCAAGGTTGCAGTTTGAGGTGACAAGCACTGCGTCCACAGATGGGTTGTACTCTGTTACCAGCTTTCTTACAGTCTCCAACTT